ACCGGTGGGGGTTTCTCAATACTTCGATATATTACCCCATGTGAATCGGGCTCTGGAATGGTGGGAGGGACCTCTTCAACGATGACAGTGGCCTCTTGAAAGGTGGGGGGGACTCTTGAGGGAGGATAGGGTCCTCTTGAACGATTGGGGGGACTCTTGAGGGATGACAGGTGAGTCAGGCTTCTTCTTGCGGAGTCTTCGCACCATTGGAGTGAACGGAGATGTAATAGCACGTCCACGCCGTCTGATGCGTGAACTCCGTCGTGCAAGGAAAACCCGACGTAAAGCATCCACCTTATGAGGCCGCTAAAAAAAATTAATACATAAATCAGTAAATAAACATGCATGATATTAAACAAAGACAAATATGTTTCAAACTAGCATTGTATTCACCCAAGTCATTATTCTATCATAGTTCACAAAATGCTCAGATAACATTCCAGAAGTAAGCACTTATATAAACATTTAAAAGGACAACATATATAAACATTCTAGAAGAAGAATAGTTTACTTTCGCAACACGAAACTTAAAATCACAACGCGAAAATGACTATCGCAACGCGGAAATGGCTATCGCAATGCGAAATGAAATTCGCAACGACAAAATCGCAATGCGAAATGAAAATCGCAACGACAAAATCGCAATGCGAAATGAAATCGCAACGACAAAATCGCAACGCGAAACACAAATCGCATTGCGATTTTCATTTCGCGTTGCGATTTTGTCGTTGCGATTTTCATTTCGCATTGCGATTTTGTCGTTGCGATTTTCATTTCGCATTGCGATAGCCATTTCCGCGTTGCGATAGTCATTTTCGTGTTACGAAAGTAAACTATTCTTCTTCTGTAAATTGAAACTTGAATGGATTGCATTACTTCAACCAAAAGACAAAAACAAAACCAAAAACAAATACTAACAAAAATAGTTTAGCAGTATTGGCAGCAACCGAATGAATTACGAGTATGAAAAATCTTAAACTTACCTCGTTGCGTAGAGTATGAACCTCATTCTGCAACGATGCTACCATCTCACGTAGAGCGGCTACCTCACCGCGTAATGTAGACACCTCAACACGCCATGCACCATCGTCTTTGCGTAAAGTACCGACCTCCTCACGCAAGGCATTGACCTCATCACGTAACTCCCCTAACTCATCCCGTTGAGGTGGAGGTGGAGAACAGGGAGATAAACGTCGTGGCATCTTTGCCGGTCGCCTATCTTGCGGTGATGGTGGAGAAGAGGCTCGATGATGTGACAGAATAGGTGATGGCTGTCGTTGTGGAGGTGTATAGTCGGGTCAATCAGATGATGGCTCTGGGTGAGGTGATAGCTCTGGGCGAGGTGATGGCTCCCGAAGTGGAGGCTGCTCATCAACCATTCCATCAAAAAAACGCTTACTAGCTTGCCACCAATCAGTGGCAAGCTCAGCTTCCGTGGGTGTCAGTCTCTGTAGAGGAGTGTTGGCCTCCTAACAATATAAAAGCTCAAACAAAGTTAAACGTGTACTAGTAATAACTTGTTTATAAACATATGGTAGTATTTATGTTAACTTACATTATTTATTGTCGTATACCGTAGTAAATCTTCCCATTACAAGGTCCGTTTCCTCTTCTAGGAAATAGCCCTGGGAATATCATTTGAAGTTTTTATTGCATATGTCTTCATGGCGGGAAAGGCCTCAAATATCCAAATCTACAAACAATATAATAACAAACATTAGTAATTGTTAAATAATTATTTATAATTTTGGAAACATTATATAAAAATTCTTACCTTAAAGGCCCAAATAAAGTCTATCAAAGTGTATTTGGAACCATCGCCATGCAAACTTTTTCGATCATCCAAGGCAGACGATAACTTATTCCATGTAGCTTTCCATAAATACGAGCCCCACGGAAACAAGTTCCACGCATTTAGGTCTTCTACCAATTTGATTAGATCATTTGGAATAGGTTGTCTGGCCTCTCTGCCTAAAAAGCCGGCATGCAAAAGAATTAGAAGGCATACTCAGATAACGTCGACGTCATCCATCCGAGTAAAACCATCTTTCTTATTCAACAATCTTGTCAGGTCTTCTACATGTAGATTCGGCCTCTCCAGCTCAAGAAAAACCCGGGATAGCCATGATGGGCGGGTAATGTGTCTAGTGTACCAACCTACATCATCGTGTCCGAAGCGTAGACCGGTGATTAAGCAAAACTCCTCCCGCCCAAAACACGTATACGCCGGTGGAAAATCAAACCATATCTCTTCATCACGACGTTGTATAGTCTCTGGTAGATCGCTAGTCATGGTTTGAAGAAACAGGTGTGTCAACATCACATCTCCACCGGGATGTACTTTCAGCCATGGCCCGAAGCATGTATCCTCAAACATTTTTCTTTGTGCAGGTGAAAGCTTTGACGCAATTGTTTTGGCCAGGCTGACTTTATTTCTTAAGGTCAATTGAGCCGAATAAAAGTTCTACAAAAACAATAATCATACTAAGTTAGATATACCAAAAACTACACTGTGAAGATATACCAAAAACAATAATAAACATAAAGAGTAGTAGTTTATTCTTCAAACTTAAATTTGCAACACTGTGAATTTCGTATTTGTCTTTGTTTTTTGGTTGAAGTAATGCAATTCATTCAAGTTTCAATTTGCAGAAGAAGAATAGTTTCTGAAAATGAAAATCGCAACACGAAAATGACTATCGCAATGCGAATTTGACTATCGCAACGAGAGAATCGCAACGCGAAACTAAAATCGCGTTGCGATTTTCATTTCGCGTTGCGATTCTCGGTTGATTTAATAAGCAATCTAAGTGAAATGGTTAATCTATTATTGAAATTACCAGTAAACTTATCATCAATTTCAATATGAAAAACCTAATAATAATGCAAAAATTTCAAAAAGAAAATAATTAAAAAAACTAACCCTCGTTGGTTGATTTGGTTGATTTTCCATTTCTGATTGTGAGGGTGGCTCTGAGAGATGGAGATAGACGGATTTCGTCGGAGATGGGGACGGATTTCGTCGGAGATGTGTGAGAGAGTGAGAGATGGAGATGGGACTGAGTTGTGATTTTAGGTTTTAGGTTATGAGTTGCGATTACGGGATATACTGTGGACGGTTCAGTGTTCCAATATATTAATATTCGTGTTTGGAATTTAAAAATAAAATACTTGGCCAGGATACTAATGGCGCTTTGAAAATCGCATTGCGATTATGTATTATCGCGTTGCGAAAGTCAGAATCGCGTTGCGAAAGTCAGTATCTCGTTGCGATTTTGTATTATCGCATTGCGATAGTAAGTATCGCATTGCGATAGTCAGTATCGCATTGCGATTTTCCCAATTCGCGTTGCGATTTACTTATTCGCATTGCGAATTGGGAAAATCGCAACGACACTGTAGACCATCGCAACGCGATTTTCAACTATCGCAACGCGAATTTGCGATAATGGAGATCGCGTTGCGAATTAGCGATCGCATTACGATTTTGTTGGTCATTTTGGAAAATCTGGAAAAAGTTGGTTAAAATCGTATATTATATGGGATTTTTGGTCACTGAGGGTATTTTCTCTAACAAAAATAGGTCTTCCATTGTAGGAGCAACAAGTAGCCGGCCATCTGAAATTCCGGGAGAATACTAAAGCAGGAAAAAAGAGTGATCCCCGAAATCAGCCGGCAATCGCATGCCTCATCCAACTAAAGATTACCCATCCAGCCTGTACCATTTCCCAGTTGACAAGCCGGCCCACGTTTCATGCACGCAAATGCTTATTTATATAACAACCCTTTTAATTACTTCTACTCAATCTACTCACAAAATGACCAACTTAATCCCATCGTCAATGAACTTCCTAATCCTTCTAGCCACTGCTCTCTTTCTCTTGGCAGGTTCACGGTTTCATGCACTCCACTCGTCTCCGGCGGAGGTTTCTGGTTTTTGAGCCCATAATACATTCGAGTCGAGCTTTAGGTCTCTCGGAATGATGCTTCCAAAAGGTCAGCCGGTGCCTCCATCCGGACCTAGTCCCCAGATAAATTGATCGCCAATGTAGTCTAGTAAAATGGGTGAAGATTTTTTTTTAACTCTGTAGCAAGTATGTATGTAGATTGATGTGAGTTGAAGGTAGAGTCAGTTTTTGTTCCTTCATTTTCTCGAAATGTTTTATTCTTCTATACGTTGTATTTTCGTTGGACTGTTTATGAGTGTAAACATGCGAGGTGTGGTAGTAAACTTTATACGATCAAATATTCAGTTGATATTCTTATGTATTGATTATACCTTAACCTAAAAAAAAAAGCATAAACGTGAATAATACAGGCTTGGATGTTATGGACAGCAAGTATCAGGATATACATGTAGGATACATGTTGAACAGATAATCTTAATTGTTGTTAATATTATCAATAATTTATTATTATTCGACGTTTTTTTATACAGACATTATGATATTGTAATTTGATTAATTTATGATCACACCATTATTTTTGTTATAATCAAATCGTATATTCTTTAAATTTTTAGTAGTGATCTAGTAGTTAGGGTTCACCTTCTCTTCCCTTGTATTCTAGGTTCATAATGAAAAACAATATTGTCCTCTTTAGACTGACGAGTCTCTTAGAAGTTTGTTACACTAAAGTGTGTAATTTTATACTATTCAATAATTCTTGAACCTTATTAATGAAAAACAATATATAAAGTTTGGGACTAATGCGGATAAAGGGATCAAATTGAAAAAAAGAAATTATGAAGGGATCAAATGTTACTTTATTCTTGGGAAATACCCCATAACAAGAGCCAGCCACAAGGCAGAGCGAGACCCGCCAGATCCACGCTAGAACCCTCGGGTTTTCATTTTTTCATAAACCCTAATTCTAACTATCGTTTCCCCTTAAAACCCTAATTTGATTAAATCAGCATTTCTCTAAAAGTTTTCAAAACTACTCTGCATCGGATTCTACCCTCTCTTAACGAAATACCTTCCATTTTCTTCAGTTTACCGATGAAGCTTCTTGTTGGATCAAATCCATGGACAAATTCTTCCATTTCTAGGATTCTGAGAGTTGTGGCCTACTCCACGAAGACCCTCAGCAGCCCTAGCGCCTCCACTTCAAAGCCACCCGACACTCTGCCCATTCGTATCTCTCGATTCGGCGATCCCAAAGCCTCCATCGTCCCGGTGCTCAATCAATGGCTTGAAGAAGGCAAACCCAAGAAGCAATCCATGCTCCAAATTATAATCCGACAGCTCCGCAGTTTTCGACGCTACAAGCATGCCCTTGAGGCACACTAATACGCAACAAGAAGAGATGGGAAATCCTTTTTTCCCTTAAATTTCTTGCCAAGTATTCTATGATTGCCCCTTATTTATATGACCCCTGAATCTAAAAAAAATGATACTTTGACAGGTATCGGAGTATATGGGCGAAGAAATGAAATATAATATTTCCGTATGGGATATGGCTGTAAGGTTGGATTTGATCTCAAAAGTGCACGGCGTGGATCAAACTGAGAAATATTTCAACAGTCTTCCTGAGGCAATGAGGAATTTCCAGGTATATGGTGCCCTTTTAAATTGCTATGCGAACAATAAATGTCTAGAAAAAGCAGAGGCCACCATACAAATTATGAGGAAATCGGGGCTTCCGATCAACGCGGTGTCCTATAATGTAATGTTAAATCTCTATCATCACCTAGGAAAACACGACAAGTTAGATACCCTTATGCAAGAGATGACAGATAAAGGAATTAAACATGATGCCTTCACGAACAGCATTCGGCTGAATGCTTATGTATCGTCTTCTGATATCGAGGGGATGGAGAAATTCCTGACTAGGATAGAGAATGATGTTGGAATCACCCTGGATTGGCATGCTTATGTTATTGCATCGAATGCGTACCTGAAAGCCAAGTTAACTGAAAAGGCTTTACAAATGTTGAGAATAGCAGAGCAGCTAGTTCCTCAGGGATCAAGAAAGCATGCTTATGAAGTATTCCTCACAGTATATACCAATCTAAGGAGAAAAGATGACGTACATCGTATATGGAAGTTGTATGGAAACTTGGGGAAATTTTTTATTTCTGGCTATTTATGTATGATAAGCTCGTTGGTAAAGTTGGATGATTTGGATGGTGCTGAGAGGGTTTTGGCAGTGTGGGAGTCTGGATGCTCATTTTTTGATGCTCGGATTCCAAATGTGATGATCAGTGCCTATTGCAGAAAGGGTTTTGTTGAAAGGCCGAAGCATATACAAAGAGACTGATAGAAAGAGGTGACATTAAAGAGCCTGATGCTTTTATATTGAATAGTCTGGCAACTGGATATCAAATTGACGGCCAGATGGCCAAGGCAGTGGAAACCTTGAGGGCTGCAATATCGTCTAGCAGTTCGGGGTGGAAACCTAACGCTAGAACTTTGGCTGTTTGTCTCAAATTTTTAGAAGAGGAGAATAACTTAGAAACGGCTAAAGAGCTGTTGGAGTTGCTTAATGTCAAAGGCCATTTGTCAATTGATGTTTATGATAGATTAGTAAGGTGGACGGAAACATGGATGTCGGTTCCCTTGCCCGGATAAACGGAGGCAGCAAAACTCCTGATGAGGAAAGTGGGATTCATGGATGTCAAAATGAGGGTACCAGCTGAATCAATTTCTGTAGTTTGATTAGGCATCTAATTGCGATATTCCTATTGTCATTCTGTTACTACGATGACCGACTGTGTTGGGAGTTGGTTTCTTCAGATAAACAAATTCCTTTGCAACAAGTTGGTTAATCCCTTCTATAATTATAATTTGGTTCTAAAATTCCAGTTAAAAATAGACTTTAATCTATTGGACTGAAATCGAACCATTTTAAAAACATCGGTTCATACCCGAACAAAATTCAATGTCTACAACTATCTTCTTGTACTGTTCTGAACTTCAATTATATAAACTATGAAAAATCAAGAAAATGTTAATACTTCAATTGTTAAACCGGCTTTGAATATAATGCAAGTATCCCTCGTGTAGAGCCAATGTGAATAGCATTGAGAGTGTGAAGTTTCAGAAACCGACGTTAATAAAGTTTTCTAGTTTTCGGTTCGATTTTTAAGGCTTTTATTTGAATAACTCTGAAATTATAAGAATGTTTTGAAAAATTGACATTTAAAAGAAAAATGAAACGATAAGATTACATTTGATGTCAAAATGAAAAAAGCACGACACTGTAAAAATAAACAAACATTAAGGGCAACAACTGAGATTACGACCCACATAAAACTTCATAACCCTACCAAACCCTCCGCAAATTACAAACATTAAACCCTCAACAAATGGTGTTATCTTCCAGTGTTTTCACACTCGTTTTATCATGTAATTATTGTGTGCTTAAGCAAGCTCGTTTCCAGACAAAACTTGGTGTGTTCTTGTCAACCTACCAAATTGTCTCGATATGATAATCAGCACCATATAAATAGTTTTGTTGATAGGAAAATCTAGATTATGACTGTTGAAGACGATTTACTTTTTTATTTATTTAAGGAGAGTCATAATCGGTGTTTTATATTAAAATTGTAGAGAAATAATATCATCTAGTTTAAAAACGATTTGGTCTTAACCATGTTAATGGTTCAGATTATTGGTTAATAGAGAAGCAAAGTTGATCTAGGGAGGGAAAGAGCTGAAGAAGTTTTTTCCATCAGTTTTCCTTAGCAGTTTATATATAGACCCTTAGTGCTCGTATAGACCTAGGGTCATGATGGCTATCCGTAAATCCTCTGATCACATAAATATAATTGTTAGATATAAGATTTTACTCTAACAGATCACGTATATAAATGTTAATTATTTGAAGAACATGAAATCTCGTAAACTTCAAAGAATTATGGATGAATAACCTCGTAAATATTATTTATGAAAAGATCTGGAGGAACGAAGGATAACAAGTTTACGTCAGGTTTAATGTTTCAAAGTTGTTTTCCAACGGTCAGATACATATTAACAAATACAAGGTAAATGCTTCATCGTGGTCGTCATCAACCTTCTCCCACTGTCACAACGGCCATATGTATGCTGTTTTGTATTCATCTGCTTTGGTTTTAGCCTATCCATCGCCTTAAAACATGAGAAAAGAACCATTAAAGAAAGCAAAGAAGTGAAAAAAAACAGGAAAAGTATATTACTTTTTCATTGCGTGGGATCTGCAAATAACTCCACCATGGTGTCCCCACCCACTGATAAAGTGGTGGATTACTGATAATTACCATGCCTGCCATCATCTACGTATGCGGCTTTTCTACCTAAAAGTCACCCTATTTTTTTAATATTTCCGATGTAACACTTTTGAATATTTCCCAAACTAGCAGCCATTCGGTTGATGTGGAAGGAAGGCGCGTTCCAAGGAGAGTGCTTTAACGGAATTTTTGCTGACAAGGCGGAAGACGCGTTTCAGGGGACGTGCCTTCCATGGGATTTCTGCTGACTGGATTGTCACCGAGAGAAGCGCTTTGAAGGGGGCATTCTTTCACTGGATTCTGGTGTCACGTCAGAAGGCGCATTTTCGATGGCGCGCCTTCCATTAATAGAACAATTAATTCCCACCCGTTTTTCCACCTAAACCCCTCCTCCTCCCCTTATATAAACCCCCTAAACCCCCTTATTCTTCACACCAAATCATTCTTTCTCTCTAATATAACTCAAATCACTCTCTTATTTGAGTTAAAAAATTCTTAATAGTTGGTAAGAAATTTATTTTTAAATTAATATATTTTCTTTAAAAAGTTATATTCTTTTTATAAATAATTATTTAAAAATAATGTTATATTTTTTATTAAAATAATATTTATATAATTATTATATATTTAAATTTATTAATTAATTATTTGAGCTAATTATATTTTTTTGCCTACAATTATAATGGAGAGTGAGATGCTGTTACGATTGGATGCAAATCATATCTCAAGATATTTTAGTGATATGGTAATATTTTTTTGAAGTTTATGTAAATGTTTAATTTAAAGTTTTCATGAATTTATAGTAATTTTAAATTTTTGGAATATTTATTAATTAGGAAAATGCGTATTTTGGAAACATTTATTCAAAACATGAAGATACCGACACCAACACGTATTTAGCAATATCTCTCTACAGTCAGGTTCGGGTATATTGCAAAAGTTGTTGGTGGTTGTAAAATCAAACCCACCCTAATTTCCGCATTAATTGAGAGGTGGAGACCGGAGACACACACATTTCATCTTCCATGTGGAGAGTGCACAATTACACTAGAGGATATCTCAATGCATTTAGGGCTCCTCGTTGATGGAAATGTTATGTGTGGTGTGGCCGATGGTGATTGGAAGCCACTATGCATGGAGTATCTTGGAGCTTGTTCGCCAGATTTCAATGGAGGTCGAATATCTTTATTATGGCTAAAAGCCAATTTTGAATATTTGAATAAAAATGCTTCTGATGATGAAGCAAAGGCATGTGCTCGGGCATATATACTACGAATCATTAGAGGAATATTGATGCCCGACAAATCTCGCAACGAGGTGCATTGTATGTGGCTGCGTCATCTTATTGATTTTGATGAAGCAGGAAGATACAGTTGGGGCGCCGCAATTTTGGCATTTCTTTTTAGAGAAATGTGTCGTGCAACGAATTATAGTAAAATTGCTATCGGTGGATGTCTCATGCTTCTCCAATCATGGGCGTGGTTCCGCATGCCTTTCTTATACCTGATCGTTTATGAGCCATATGTATTCCCGTTATTATTAAGGTAATTTCAAAACTAAATTTTGATTTAAATATTTTTTAATTAAATAATTACATAATGTTTATATTATATTAAATAGATAATCGATGAGAAGAAATAATCATAGAGATATCTCTAGTGAACTAGAGGATATCCGTTTAATTATTGATGAAAAAGTTGGGTCTGAGGTACATCTTTAAATATGAAGAATTTAATTTTAAAAAACTTGATATAATTAGAATATTATATTGATAAGAATTATATATTTATGTTTCAATTTCAGCGGATACCTTATGCGAGCGATGAAATAAAGGCTTGCATCCCACCATACTTGAGTGAGCCATTAGATGTTTGGATGTCAGTTGTGCCTCTTATATGTTATGCTATTATTGAGTGGCATCCTATTGATTGTGTGCTCCATCAGTTTTGTTGTACGCAATATATTTCTGAAGCACCTATCAATTTAGACAATATGTATAACATAGAAAGACGAGGAAAACAAGAGGTCAACTGGGTGGTGAAGCATAGAGACTGGATTGCGATTTGGGAGAACTGATATCAACGTTTGCCCCATCGACAATTTTACGCTGAAACTGGTTAGATGGTTATAGACTGGATTCCTACTTTCGGAGGAAGTATGAGGGGTGAGAATTCATAGGCGCCGATATAGACATTCACCATCATGATATCATTGTCCCTGGACTCGTGGACGGAGAGCAGCCGCTACCGGTTCAACATCAATCGCACCACCAGATCATCACAACATCCATCATCTCCACCGATTATGAGCCCACAAGGGTACATGCCCAACCTACCAGTTCAGATGCCACCTCCGCAGGGGTATATGCCTAGCCCAACAATTCATATGCCACCATCGCAGGGTTATATTCCTAGCCCACAGGGGTACATACCCAGCCCGCAAAGTTACATTCCTAGCCCGTAAGGTTTTATGACACCCCATGAAGGTGCTCAAACGACTATGCTTAATGATCCAACATATGGTTTATATGCATATTATTTGGCTGGTGGTTCTCCTCCTCCACAAAAACCTCCACCTCCATATGGATCACAGACATTGATGTCAATATTTTCACAGTTTTCTCATTTTTCTTTGAGCGATGGGATAGTTAGTAATACTCCTCTAAGGTCATTATTTTATGCATGCCCTTCATCGTCATCCATGCCAAATGAACAAAATGTCGATGATGATGATGATAGTGAAGATGAGGAGAATGAAGTTATATGAAGAAATCCTCAGCAAAATAGACAATCACCGCCTTGTGGAACTCATTCGAGAAGATGACATCGTTGATCCAATGGAAGATAATATTATTAGTTGTATCTCAAATTTTTGTGTAATTTTGTAATGTTTTTTAAATGTTTAATGTTTGTTAAATGTTTTTAAAATTCAAATTCAACTTGAAATGTTTAGATTATGTAATGTTTTTTAAATGTTTAATGTTTGTTAAATGTTTTTAAAATGTAAATTTAAATTCAAGTTAATATTCCAATTAAAATTTAAAATTGTATTC